AAGTTTGAACTCTTTGCCTTTCAAGGAAAGTAAAGGCAGGGATCATTAAATATTTTAAGGCAGCGATAGATTGATTCTCTTGCCAAACAAAACTCTTCATTCAGTTTCAAAGGTGACCACAACAATTTCAATGTTGCATCTTCAAGCTTCACATTCTACGCCGTGTGCATTCCACTGGTGGAAGAAGAGCCAGACTTCTTCGGAGAGTTTTTGAATTATTTTTCCCATCCCCCTCCCCTCAATTTTGTTTACCAGTGGCTCTTGTACAACACAATTTTGGGTAAGTGACTTTCGTCCTTCTGGACAACATGACCAACAAAATGCAGTTGGCTTTCCAGGAAGATCACCTTGACAGTTTTGAGCACTTCAATGTTTGTGATTTGTTTTGGATCAGAAATTGGCTAGCTGTAAGAAGACAGAGGGTGGTGGTTGATGGGAAATGTTCATCCTGGAGTTCAGTTACTAATGTGTACCTCAAGGATCTGTTTTGGGGCCACTGCTGTTTGTCATTTTTATAAATGACCTGGATGAGGGCGTAGAAGGATGGGTTAGTAAATTTGCGGATGACACCAAAGTCAGTGGAGTTGTGGATAGTGTGGAAGGATGTTGCAGGTTACAGAGGGACATAGATAAGCTGCAGAGCTGGGCTGAGAGGTGGCAAATGGAGTTTAATGCGGAAAAGTGTGAGGTGATTCACTTTGGAAGGAGTAACAGGAATACAAAGTACTGGGCTAACGGTAAGATTCTTGGTAGTGTGGATGAGCAGAGAGATCTCGGTGTCCATGTGCATAGATCACTGAAAGTTGCCACCCAGGTTGATAGGGTTGTTAAGAAGGCGTACGGTGTGTTAGGTTTTATTGGTAGAGGGATTGAGTTTCGGAGCCATGAGGTCATTTGCAGCTGTACAAAACTCTGGTGCAGCCGCACTTGGAGTATTGCGTACAGTTCTGGTCACCGCATAACAGGAAGGATGTGGAAGCATTGGAAAGGGTGCAGAGGAGATTTACCAGGATGTTGCCCGGTATGGAGGGAAGGTCTTATGAGGAAAGACTGAGGGACTTGAGGCTGTTTTCGTTAGAGGGCAGAAGGTTAAGAGGTGACTTAATGGAGACATACAAGATGATCAGAGGATTAGATAGGGTGAACAGTGGGAGCCTTTTTCCTCGGATGGTGATGGCTAGCATGAGGGGAAATAGCTTTAAATTGAAGGGTGATAGATATAGGACAGATGTCAGAGGTAGGTTCTTTACTCAGAGAGTAGTAAGGTGTGGAATGCCCTGCCTGCAAAAGTAGTAGACTCGCCAACTTTAAGGGCATTTAAATGGTCATCAGATAAACATATGGATGCTAATGGAATAGTGTAGGTTAGATAGGCTTCAGATTGGTTTCACAGGTCGGCGCAATATCGAGGGCCGAAGGGCCTGTACTGCGCTGTAATGTTCTATGTTCTATGTTCTATGATGCAGTCCTGCCAGCAGATCATGGGGATGGTGCAGAGGCAGCGCTGATGGAACTAGACAGCATACAAAACAGTGGTACATGATCAATGATTTCTTGCCACACAGAAGACCAATGAGGACTACAACGTCTGTACGTTTTGAGTTTGAGTCTGAGATTCTGGTTGAATAGCCTGCTGCTAAATATCACATATGAATAATAGCTACTTGGTAAAGAATTGGAGGCTATGCATGATTCTGGGAAGAGGGATTTAAACAGCATGTCTGACATCTTTGGAGATTAAATTAAATAAATTTTTATCAGGAGTGTTTAATCAAGTGTCACACTTTATCCAACATTTGGTTAAAAAAAGTCCTTTCAGTTTTTACATTTCTACCACTTGTGAAGAATGCAGTCATTTCAAAAATGTAGACTTTCATGACAGGAGTTGCATCAATGTTTTGTTTGAAACACTATACTCAAATATTTCATGTGCAGCAGAGAATTTTTGCTGCCACATAGCAGGAAGTACACATCTTCTTGAAAACATATATTTTACAAAGTATTGAATGAATATCCAGTTCTTTATTAATATCATATTATGGCAAGTTAATGTTGATGCTTACATTTTGCTATTTTAAGAGTAGGGCCATAGAGGGCAGAAGGGTACTGAGTGTATTGGCTACATCTGCCATTTTTCATGCAGATAAATGTATATTATAAAAAAGGTACAATAAAGTTTAGAAAATGTTATATTCTTGCAAATAATACAATTTTAAAATCAGTTATAGCTCTCTAACTTATGTTTGGTGAATGATTAAGTCTTAAACTTTTAATCTATGGAAAATCAAAACCTAAACACAGTGATTAAAAACATCTTGTGTCTTTGTGGCAGAGGACTAAGGTTAGCTTAATTATGAATATTAAATTGTTACTTTTGGCAGGTCTGAAATACTCCGTGAAGATTGCTTAGGCGTGTCTACAGTTCCAGTTGTGGATTTGAGCTCTGCCAGCAACTAGAAATGTAATTCGCACCCAATGTTATTTACATTATACTGGTAGTCAAAGTTAGTGGAATGGCTGACAATTAGTGCAATAACTATTATATAATTTAACTGATCAATTTGAAACAACAGTTAATTACAAATTTCAGTCAAGCACAGTAATACTATTTCATATCATGATATAGTAGCCTGTGAGAATAGAATTTCGAATGTTAGCTATGCTTTTAAGATCGTAGCAAATATTTTATGTATTTATTAACTGGATATCTGTGACTGATTATTTTAGAAGGACCACTCTTGTATTTATTTTAAACAAGGCTTATTTATTATCAGTGTGGTTTTTCCCATTGTAGTGCTCTTCATAGCAAAGTACAGTTCAAAACTGATACAGCCTAAAAAAGAATCACCGATATAATTGCCCTTCACTGAGAACAGTCACATTACACACGTAGCCACAGAAGGCAATAGCACACAATAAATGTATTGATGTAAGTAGATCATTGCTGGGTCTGTGGTGTTCAATTTTGAAGCCAGTTTAGTGCATCATGATATAAAGCTTTAGTGATAACCGTGCTTATAGAATTTACTGAGAACCTTAAATACAGAGACATTTGCAAACAATATACTTACTGTCCTTTTATCTTTAAAAGTCAATACTAATTAATGTAGCACGATTCAACTTGAACTCACAAGCATGAAGGCAAATATTTATATTTGCACATTAATAACATTTAATGAAATGGAAGTGATTTCACTATATTTTCTGTACATGTTTGAAATCATGAGACTTGAATTTTACAATATTTTACAGGAATGAATGTTTGACTTAGTTAACCCATTCGTGACAAATCCCTATTTTAATGGATAGAATTAGAACATGGTGTCAGAGAAAAGGTAAGGTAAGTCGCTCAAAAATAGTATTTGAAGTTATTTCTTGTCAGTATATACACTGTGTTTTATTTACAATGAAACTTAATTGATTCATCTCTTTTATACACCAAAGGACTTCCAACCACACTTCTATAACAACTTTCCTCTAAGAATAAATCATTCTTAATACTCCAAAAACAAGGACTTTTAGGTTGTCCAACAATAAATACTATTCACCAGAAAAACACTGATAATTAATACAAGCAATTTCTGCACTTTGTTTATGTTGAATAAACAACTACTTATTGCTTGATACATAATTTAAAATATTATCCTTTGCTTTATGATGTAAACACTTGTATTGATCAAATGTGGAGACAGAAGTTTGATGCTACACATCACATGATCAAAATATAATACAAATAGCTAAAATTGGGTACCTGTATAAAACATTTACTGTATGTGAAACAAAGGCTGTCTATGGGCTCCCCATTATATACATCCATTAATTTGCATGTACCTATGTTGAGTTGTTACATTGTTATATACATCCGGAAATAGGGTTATCTGTTAACGGAGTGCACTTTCCCCTATGCTCTCCAACGTTTTCAATGAACAAAGCAAGTACCATCACCTTAAATTTCATGCCTCCTTGTTGAAACATTAATGTGTCCTCAACATCATTCAGATTTTTGGATCAAAATGATATCTTTTTGGATTCTGAAGTTTATTTCAATTCTCAACCAATGAATGAGAAAGGATAGGTGAGGTAAATGGTGGATCTTCTACATTATTGAAACTAAATGTTCATTTCAGATCGCTTGCATCTGTTTGTGTGTTTGATAGTACTTTATACAAAAAATAAATTTAATCAAGTATTAGTCATATAATATTCCTACTTTTGCTTTTAGTCACTCAGTATCGCTAAATATTAACTTGATGGTATAGGAGCCGTTGATTCACTTCCTTCCAGCACCTTAGTTGTGTGCATAAGATATTCTTCAGGATTGTTTTGTCAGGCGGCTATCTTGGAAATTTTAAAGCTCTGAATGTAGCAAAAGGTTACTTAACAAAGTGTAATGTTCTAATCAGTAGTCCCATGAACATTTTATTTGATGTATGTCACCATAAACCCTATTAGCAACAATTTGAAATAGTTATTGAATAAATGTCATGATAACTACCCAAAAAATGGGTAGTTATCAATTTCCTTCATTCAAGAATATCTGTAAGAATGCAGGTGTCGGCATAAAGAAATCTTCAGTGCTCATTACTCCACATTCATTCCTCTTCACTTTTACAGCATGAATTTATGCTAAGAACAAGATGGAAGGAGAAGATTGGCACAACATGGGGAACTTTATGATGAACTGTATACATATTACTGATGATTCTGATTGTCCAACAACAAACATGCAACATTCTGATGAATATAGACCATACAATGCAGAGAAACATCCACCAGATGGAACCCTTCACTTTTGTTTTATGTTAATAACCAATTTCAATTTCATTCAGATAAGTAGTATGATGGAGTGGGGATTGAAAGAATATATCAAATATATGTCATTATATAGTTTTACCACTTGAAAAGTACAGTCAGGTTTGGTGGTTTTAAATATTGCTTGAAACAATGTCCTACTTAATACAAACATTCATGTATGTCAGATCAATGGAGATTTCTTTGAATTAGCTGTTCTCAGTCCATTCAGGCACTATGCCCACTCCAGGTACTGAATGGTATTGATGGGGTGAGAGGGTTCTTGACATGCCATGTGGATACAAGTAGTCAGCAGGTTGAAGATTGCTTGCAGACTGGATCCCAGCTTGAGGGGCGCATGGCCGAACTATGGGCTGATGCGAAACTGAGCTCTGATGTTGAAACATGTTGTGAGTGTCCCCTATCTGTGGAGACGTATGGTTGGCGACTCCAGAGATGCGAGGCATTAACGGGCCTGAAGTGAAATGTGCTGAAAAGTGTTGGTAGGGCAATCTGTCCATGGGTTGCATTGTTGTAACTGTGCAGCTGCTGTATGAGGGAACAGTGGCCCAAGTGTTACAATTAATATCATCAAGGCTGGAGCTGGGGTCCGTGTCTGCTGCTGAGCCAGCATACATGCACGCTTGTCGCTGTGCTGAGTCAGTCCTATAAGAGGGCGTAAGGCTTTGCTGTTGGGAGTAACTTGAGGACCTGTAGAATGTGTCATCCTCTGGAGGCGAGCTTTCAATATATGACTTCTTGTATGGATGTTCTGTCGAGTTGCAATCTTCGTCTACTGCTTCCAAAAATAAATCAGAACAGAATAAGATTTCAATTAATGAGCAATCACAGCAGAAAACAGCACAAACATTATTTAGTTATGAGAAAAGTTGATTTTGTTAAATCAATAAATTTGTAAACATATAAGAACTAGGAGTGGGATTAGGCCACTTACCCCCTTGAGCCATCATGGTTGATCTGATTGCTCCACTTTCAATCCCTTGCTTATCAAAAATCAATTTACTGCTACTTAAAAATATTCAAAGGCACTGCTTCTGTTGCCTTTTGACGAAGAATGTCTCAAAGATTCACAACCTACTAACAAAATAATTTTCCTTATCTCGGTCTTTAAAAAGGAGCCTTTATTTTTAGCAGTGACCCCTAGTTCTAGATTGTCCCACAAGAGCAGACATCTTTTTTACAGCCAGCCTGTCAAGACCCCACAGGATCTTATGTGTTTCAATCAAGTCACCAGTTACTCTTGTAAACTCCAGTGAATGCAAGCCTAGCCTGTCCAAGCTTTACTCATAAAACACACACCCATTCCAGACATTAGTTTAGTAAACCTTCAGTGAGCTGCTTCCAACGCATTGGCATCTTTCTTTAACTAAAAAGACCAAACTGTACATAGTATTTCAGATATGGTCTCACAAATGAACTATATAACTAAAGCCTAACAGCTTTGCTTTTGCATTAAATTCCCCTCACAATTAATAATAAAATTCCATTAGGTATTCCTTATTACTTGCTTTATCTGCATGCCAACCTTTTCTGATCTGTCCTTATAAACAGTTTACCAGTAATGTCATGGATGTACATCGCAAAATCTTAAAGACCCACTTCTGAGTTAGAAGATAGTGGGTTCAAGCCCACTCCAGAGATCTGATCATAAACTTTGGTGTCTTTGCAGGATAGATGAAAACAATTTGAAGCAAATGAAGTCAACAGCAAACTAAATGACTTTTCTCTGCTCTATATGCATATATATGAATAGTCAAAAAATTATTACAGTTCTTCCTCCTTTAAGAATGTGTTACATGTTTAAAACTCAATGCAATATGTACATATATAACCTATTTTCCATCTATTCATAAATCTAATATACCCACTGGTTTCATATAACTAAGAAGTTACCACATTTCTTGACTCAAAAATTTGGAACTTGAGAAAGGACTTTTAACTCATCTTGGCCTGAGACTGAAAAGTTTTCTTTAACAAGGACTAGTTTTCCCATGGACCTTAAATTGAAATTTCCCCTCTATCAGACTGACTGAGTTGAATTAGAATTGCCTTCAGGCACAACGTGTCTAAAAGTTACTATTCGAATACAAATGCAGCAAAACCAGGACATCATCCAGATTTGGGTTGACAAGTGGCAAAGAATATTCAAGCCATTAAAGTGCCTGGCAAGGACCATCTCCAACAAGAGAGGATGTAACCATTGTCCTTATATTTAATGATGTTACCATACCATCACTGAATTCCCACTATCAACATCCTGCGGATTACCATTAACCAGATGGTCCAGCTATAAAAGTACTGCGTATACATGAGCAGGTCAGAAGCTAGGAATCTTGCAGCATGTAACTCACCTCCTGACTTATATGGCTCAAGTCAGGAGTTTGATGGAATCCCCCCACTTACCTGGATGAATGCAGCTCCAACAACACCCAAGAAACTCGAAACCACCTTGGACAAAACGACCTGCTGGATTAGCACCACATCCACAAATATTCATTCCCTTCACCACCAACACTCAATAGCAGCAGTGTGCACCATCTACAAATTGCACCAAGTATCCTTTGACAGCACCTTCCAAACCCACAACCACTGTGATCTGGATGGACAAAAGCAGCAGATATATGGTAACACCACCATCTGCCAGTGCCCCTCCAAGCCAATCACCATTCTGTCTTTGAAACACGTTGCTGTTCTTCAGTGTCACTGGGTCAAAATCCTTGAACTCCCTCCCTATTGGCATTGTGGGTTTACCCTACATTAAACAACAACAATTCAAAGGCACCTTCTCAAGGGCAACTAGGGAAGGGCAATAAATGCTTACCCAGCCAGTGATCCCCATGTCTATAAATGCATTTTTAAAAAAGTGAGAATTAGTAGTCATGTTCCAACTATCCAATTCATCAGACTCAATTTATTCTTCCCAGCTCCCTTCATCATGATCCTCTGTCGGTGAAACTTTATCTACATGTTGAAACCAAACTAAGAATTTTGGTCATTTTTTTTAAAACATGTCTATACTAGAATAAAATAGTTCACTGTTCACTCTCATTGTGTTTCATATTGTTTTAGTTTGTCCTGTAAAGATATTACAAAGGTCTACAGTGATAGTTCCACACAGTATGGACTGAGTGCTGCACTCACATTCCCTACAATCTTTAAAAATGAGCTGTTAAACCAATGCCACACCACCAGGTGGATAGAATAGACACCACAGCGCTTTTCAAACAAAAAAGGCAGGGAAGTTCACCCCAATAAGTAGTGCTACACAGACTCAACAGGCCAGGCAGTATCTGTGGAGACAGAGTTGACATTTTGAATCTAATATGACTCTTGAACATTGAAAGTTCTGAAGAAGAGTCATAACAGACTTGAAATGTTAATTGTTTCTTTCGCCACAGATGCCATCAGACCTGTTGAGTTTCCCAAGGGCTTTCCGTTGTTGTTACAGATTTCCAGCATCTGCAGTTTTTCTTTTCCATTTCACTTCTCTCCAGTGTCCAAAACAATATTTACCCCTTTACATTAATATCATTCAAAAATAATTAGAACATAAGATCAGGAGTTGGCCATTCAACCCCTTGAACCTCAGACCATTGCTAATCTGTGCCTTAACTTCATGTACCTGCCTTTGGCCCATATCCCTTAATACCTTTGCTCAACAAAAAATTATCTGTCTCAAACTTAAAATTACCAACTGGTCCAGCATCCACTGTCATAACATGACTCCTGAATGGTCTGGCCCAAATTCTCAGTCTATGCCCCTAGTTCTAGAATCCCCAACCAGTGGATACAGTATATTTTTATCTACCTATACCTCTCATTATTTTATAAACTTCTAACAGGTTGCCTCTCAGCCACCTATATGCCAGTGAAAAAGTTCCAGACTATCCAGCCTTTCTTGATAACTCAAACCTTCCATACCCAGCAACATCCTGGTAAATCTCTTCCGAACCCTTTACAGCTTGATAATATCTTTCCTATAACCGGGCGATCAGAACTGGAGACAACACAGAAGCAATCTCTTGTTTTCAGCTTCCATGCAATGAATTATCACTAAATTGCACTTCAGAGGTAAAACGAAGCATTGACAAGGTCAACCTGCGTGAGGTGATGCTAGAGCTGGGAAGATCGTATGCCTTCCTCACGTCCCAGCATTCCAACTTGCCAGTGAAGACCGGAGAGTTGTTTATTTGTTTGACACGCAAGAGGATCTGATAACTCATTACATAGAGAAGCCACCCACAGAAGAGACAGTTTAGATCTCTCAGTGGGAAGTCTTGAGGCAGAAGACAACCTGTCAGTTTATTCTTGAAATCTGTTGTTTCCTCTGTAATGAGATGCAGCGTTCGGTACGGTCACCAGAACCGGAAAGTAGTTCATTTCTGACGCTCTTGATGAGGTAACATTTGCGGGGGACACTGAGAGGAAATTCACATTGAGAGCAACAGAAGCTCTGAGGGAAATTCCGCGATATTTCTCACCTTTCCTTTTGGTGCAGTGGTAGAGAGGGCCCTGCTCCTGGCAGACTGAGTACGGGTTGGGAGGCAGTAGCTCTTGCGTCGAACTGGAAACCCCGTTCTCACATTGGTACTGAGAGTTCAGGTTGTTTGACACAGGCAACACTCGCACTTCTCCACTGAAGTGATTCGCAGTAGAACCGACACGTTGTCTGACCGTGCTCCTGGGAACCACAGGGTATTCTTTACTGTAACCATATTACAAAATACAAATACCTTGAATCCACGGGGAAAGAAACATAACACGTCCGCTGGTACTTATAGCTCAACCGTAACGTGGTCTAAATATTACATATGCTGTTTTGAAAGATTCTCTGAAAAATCACAATTAATCTTTTGTTTTTAAAAGAGGTCGAGGTAATTATGCCTGTTCCCGTGTCCGTTTACCCGCCCATTTTAATTTGCAAATGTTATGGGAAAAAGTGAGGGGTGTGAAACTAATTGGATTACTCATTCACTGGGTTAGAATTTGTATGATCGGCCGAATGGACTCTGGCCTCCAAGATTCCTATTGTTTCAAATAAAGATCTTGTGGTTTTCAGCCAATGCAACGAATTGCATCAGAAGTCGATTTGGGCACGGGCTCACAGACAATGACATCGAACGGCCGATCTGTATCTTTGAATGACAATAGACAGGACTTGGCTTGGGACTGCGCTTCCGAAAGTCTGGCCTCCATAATACAGAATGAAGGCCAAGCTTGGCTATAGTTGCAAAGCACCATCACGCAAGAGTCTCATATTTCACATGATTGTACCAAGACACGATGTTGGACTGGAAAGAGCATTCGACTGTTCCAAATTTCGTCTTGACTGTTACCTTCTTACACAAGAAACGATTAAAAAGTCCGTGAGCGATTCAAAGGAAATCACATTTTAATCTTTACTTAATCGCCACATTACAACAGTGAGCACTTTTCATTGAGTGTGAAGCGATTCGGGATATTTAGAGTTCGTTCAAGGTGCTACATAAATGCAAATCTCTATTTTTCATTTTTCACGAGGCTAGCGCCTAAATAATGATATTGACACAGTCGCAATGCGGTAATGAACGTTGTCCTGCATCTAACTGAACCAACAATTGTGTTTGTCTATATACAAACGCCAACCGTCACAGCATTTAATGCAGCAAGCATGGACAGCATTGTAATGAAAGTGATGGAATTAACGAAACTGATGCAAATTCATTGATATCGCATCCCAGGCAAAATTGTTTTAGCTCGACTTCTCAACACCGCTTCACTGTGTGTCGTACCTTTGCATGCGGGACATTCTGTGCAGTTCCATGTCATCACTTCCTCGAAATCCCTTTGCAAAAGGGTTATTCTCGATTTTGAGCTGAGTAATCTAAATTAGAAATTAAAATAGTTTTGAATATTTTGTGTCACATGAAAGTAAAATGCACTTCGTACGAAAGCGGGTGCTTTCTCCCTACGTTCTTAATGTTGAACCAGATACCAGTATTTCAGGGGACTGTTTCAGTACAGACCGAGTGCTCGACTTTTCGGCAGCATGGTTGTCAGCCTGGCTCAAAGATCTACTACAAAGTTGGACAGAACACACACACACACTTTTACAAATATATACATACACTCGTTCATATTAAAATCACAGTATTGAAGAAACTCAGCACGTCTGGTAGCATCTGTTTAGAGACAGAATCACGTTTCAAGTCCGTTATGCTTCTTCTTGCTTGAAGAAGTTTGATTAGATTTTGATTTTATTGTACGTGTACTCAAGTACAAAAGTACAGGAATATAGTGAAAAGTGTATAGTGTCTCCACACAAGCTGCCATCTTAGGTACAAGTACCTAGGTACAGAAGCTTAACAGCAAGGTAGAAAGAAAGAACAAAGTTAAAAGTTAAACATTGCAGTAATTATAGTATAACGTAAGACATGCGAAATGAAGATGGAAGTCCAGTACTAGACTCAAAACGGTAACAATTTTCCTCTTTCCACTAATGCTGCCAGGGCTACTGAGTTTTTCCAGCACATTTTTTTTATTTTTGATCTTCAACTTCCGCAGTATTTTGCTTTTAGATATACATTTGTTTCTCCCACATACTGTACAAGCAGAAATGGTCAAAGCTCATTTGTTTGAATTGGTTGGAGGTTGGGTTGAGTTCGCAGTATTGGCTCTATCAAGTGAGGGGGCAGACACCAAACACAGGTCTGAGCGAGCTATTGCTAATATAACTACCGCCCCGGTCAGCACTCCACCCAGTTAGTCCTTTCCGATTGAAAATCAAGGCATATAGAACCTGGCGTTTATCACCCTTTAGAAGTAACATATTTACGATAAATGAATAAAACCACAACTACTAAAAATGCAATTCTTGGGATAGTCGTTATTTAAGTTGGGGGGAGGCAATGGCCTAGTGCTATTATCGCTGCTCTGTTAATCCAGAGACCCAGATAATATTGTGGGGACATGGGTTCGAATCCCTCCCCGGCAGATGGTGGGATTTGAATTCAATCAAATATCTGGAATTAAGAGTCTAATGATGACCATGAATCCATTGTCGATTGTCGGTTTAAAAAACCCATCTGGTTCACTAATGTCCTTTAGGGAAGGAAACTGCCATCCTTATCTGGTCTGAACTGGCCTACATGAGATTCCAGACCCACAGTAATGTGGCTGACTTTGAACTGCCCTCTGGGATGGGCAATCAATGTTGCCTAGCCAGCGACGCCTTCATCCCGTTAATGAATAAAAGAAAGTTGACAAACTGCTAGGTTAAGTGTAAGGGCACCATTTCACGCAACTGAAGTGTGTGAATTGACACGTCTGTGCGCTTATGAAGACACACTTGTTTAGTTCTAGCATTAAATCTTCCCTTATTTAAGGCATACACCACATGCAACTTTTGTGGACGTTTCTGGAAAGTTAACTGTTTTATTCGTTTCTAACTGGATCGAATGGTGGCTAATATTTTCAGTAGCAGCCGATTCTCCATACTCAACTTGCATATTAGTCCTCTTTATTGACTTCCAAATCTCTGAATTTTCTGATTAAAGTGAATTTAAGTTAAACGAGTGTCCATGTACAGAAATAATCAGGCACACCGCGAACTCGGTGTCTAGACAAAAACTGAAGTTGCTGGAAATGCTCAATAGGTCTGGCAGTATCTGTGAAGAGAAATCAGAAATAACTTCTAGGGTGCCGTGGCCCTTCCTCAGAACTGCTTTTTCCAGCAACTTCTGTTTTTGCTTCTGATTTAGACCATCCGCGGTTTTTACTTGGAGTATAAAGATACTTTAGTCAACTGAAGGACATTCTGTGGAGATTGTATTATGATCCAAAAAGCTAATTTACATTTTATATAAAAAGACTTCACACTCCAAACTAATGGCTAACAGTGAGCAATCAGTTTGGATTTCAAGTTCTAACAACATAGACGCTATTTGTGTTTTAGAAAATTGTATACTGGAAAGGGCAATTTCTGGAGCAACGTGAATAGAATATTTATCATGGTTGTTTTCTTGCTAACTTCACCCAACATCTTTCATTCAGCATTTCAAAGTATCAAAGCAACACAACTGGAGCCAAAACCTAATATTTGAAACATTATTTTGTAATTATTAGATGGTTGACAAATTACAAATGTAATATGCTCAATGTTTTAAAATGCTCTGCGATCATTTTCCAAATAATTGTAATTGGTGCGGGATGGGTGCTATCTGCTGTTTAACTGAATGTTTGGGGACGACAGTTTCACACTAAGTCGAAGGTTTGTTGATTCAGTTTGACTCATTTGCTAGGGAAACTGAGCGAACAGAAATCCTTGAATGGTTAAAACTAATTTGGGTTACAGACGGCTTGATTTTTAGAGCTGGAATATTTCTTCACTGAGAGTTAATTCCGTTCTGTGATTATTCTAACATTCTCCGGGAATGCTGAAGTTTCTACCTCGTTTCCAGATCATTGCGAATGCGTACACTTTGGAGAAACGAACACTTGCGATAAAAGTTCACCCAAAACTCAAATACACGGCTCTATGGAATAATACTCTAGTCCTTCGCTACAAAACCTTGGCACTTCAGGATCGCACAATTTATGTTCTTTTTCATTAAAATTGTACATCTCAGTTCTGTTTCACCATTGTTCAGCTGTGAAGGTAAATAGCTTCCGATACGGAGCCTCTGGCCGAATTTTTACCGGAAGAAGTGTTTGCTGCACTTTCTAACCACCGACGAACCCGTAACTGCGATTGATTAGGGCTCTCTAACAGAAACGGTTAGGGTCTCTCAAACGACACAGACCCTAAGTGATGGTTGACCTAAGAAGCTGTAACTCTCAACTAATTCTGGCGTTATTTCAATAGAGGTGGGAATTAACAATTTGACTAGGCACTTCATATATGACGAATAATGTGTTCCCTTAAAGTGCCCCATTTCAATTTACAGGACGGGCGTGAAATAACTAGATAGGCCAAATAAAGCGTAAAGGCTGGACGTTGTGAAAATAAAAGCAGAAATTAGTCAACATACATAAGAGGACTACTGGCATCAGAAAAGAGGCGAGACTGTTGAAGTTTTGGGACTAGTTCGTTATGAGTCTGAAACTTTTTTTTGTTCTTTGCAGGCTTTCTATTCCGGTGTCAATCTATTTTATTTTTTCCAGATGCTGCGGGCTACATTGCTTTATACTGTGCAGCAACATGCAATCGTGATCTTTTAACTATCGACTAGGTAGCTGATCCTGAGTCAAATTAACAGTTCAAGTTCAGTCCTAAAGCTATACGTTAGAGTTAACGATGAGGCCCAAAAAGACACGCAGGTTCCTTATGAGAGGCAGCCTCTAATTCAGTCCCTAATAGCCTTGTTCTTAGTAAGAACAGCATCTCAAACAGCAGAGATGTGACTGAGGGAATAGGCGCAGTGCAGGTCCAGCCCGTTGTAGAATCTTACCTTATGGTTCTGGTAGGACGTGACCGCAATAAAGGCGGTTTCCGAGAAAGCGTGCGTACAGAAAGCGGTGTTCTTGGAACCGAACCCGTTATTTTCGTCAGCCTTTACAATGTGCAGTCTGGGCTGGTATTTGTGCATCGAGTTTAGAATAATCTACGAACAAAACCGGAAACAAAAGCAGTCATTTTTTTTTAATATCAGCCACCGCATCAAACTGGCTCACTTTGGCTTCAGTGGTTTAGCCAACACTATTATTATGGGGGGGATGACTATTTACGTAAACGGGACCTTCGTGTTTCGAAGTTCATTGAGAGGGAAGAGGCAAGAGGGGGTCATGAACAGGTCTTGAAGAATGGACATGGGTTTTTTGCAATGGCCAAACTGAACTTCCACTTGTAAGCCAATAAGATATTTAACAGGTACTTCCTCTTTAACTACCTCCCCAGTTCCACACTGTTCTTCAATTGAACGGTAACAGTTCTCTGTTACCAGTTATAGATTTTGTGAAGGGGATGTTTACAGATTTCTTCAAGGTGGCGGTGACATGTTTATTTCAGTGAACGGCACTCACCATCGTAACCTGTATTTGATTGGAGAACAGGACGGGGGTGGGGGGGTGCAGTGTATAATTTTAGTTGCAAGCCTGTGATGGCTTTCTGAAGACTTTTTCTCCAATTATTCCAACATCGTAAAGATTGTTGGTGAAGGGAGGTGGGGGGGAGGGGAGGGGGGGGGGGGGGTGCGGCGGTTAGAGTTTGGGAGGGAACCTGGCGACACAAAGACGCTGCCTGTCCCGCCATTGCGGACCCTACTAGTCATCTCCAATCGGAGTCGCTCTCATCCCCCAGGCTTAGTTAAATTGTTTTGACAGCCCCATAAGCCCAAGACATCAGTGGTGAACGATCTAATGATTTTTAATTTCATTACATCCCGCTTAATTGAGAGGCTACCAGTGCTGGTTTCATCTAGCAATTTGTTGAATGAATTTCTCATTGTTGCCCCCTCCATCCGTTTGTTTAGAGATTTTGTGTGTGTGTCTGTGTGTGTGTGTGTTCGCCGCCTTTTCACAGTAGGGAAGGCTGGCCTTCACAGAGCTTCCGTCCTCCGCAATGCAGTTTCCAAGGCTACCGTTGTCAAACGTAGCGCATCGTGTCTAGCATGGCTCCCTATTCTGGTTCGAAACATTAGCGAATCCCATCAATGTCAACCTGGACGCTATTGGCGCAGTGCTTCGGATTTAGAACTGCACTCTTAGCTCTAATTAACCCAATATCCTCCCGTTGCGTTTGCTGGCCAGCTGTGCTGCTTTCTATACAGTGTTTGTTTTTCCCTGCATCTAGGATGAATGGTTAGCACTGCTGCCTCCCAGCGCCAGGGACCCGGGTTCGATTCCACCCTCGGGAGACTGTCTGTGTGGAATGAACACAATCTCTTCATGTCTGTGTGGGTTTCTACAGGTGCTCCGTTTTCCTCCCACCGTCCCAAGATGTGGAGGTGAGATGCTAAATTGCCTGTTATGTTCAGTGATTTGCAGATGAGGTGGACTAGCCATGAGAAATGCAGGGTTACGGGGTTGGGTCTGGGGGAGGACCCTTGCGGACCCAATGGGCCGAATGACCTGCTTGCAAACTGTAGGGATTAAATGGAGGAATTCTGTTAACAAAGGTAAGGGAATTATGTCAGATTTCAGTCGGTTGCCAAGATTCAAAATGCAGAAGAGCTCTTGGGTGTCTGTAATGCAGCGAAACTCGTATAGTGCCTTGTACAGCATTCCAAAGCCTGGCTAAATCAATCGACCTTCTCCAATAATGCTCTTATTGTTTAGGTAATAGCAATCCTCCACATCCCATAGTGCACAGCACCACAATGAGGCAGGATGCCGTCAATTTCAGGTGTAGAGAAGGGGTCGATTGTCAGACGTGTTTGCAAACCCTCGTTTGCCTGAAAGGGTCTCGGACACCCTCTCTCACCACACTCCTTCCACCCCCCACCACCCTCGACCATTCACGGCTGCAACTGAAATCGAACCTCTGCCAATGTCCATTCTGTACAATTGGTCCAACATCAACCACTATTCCTCTTTAGGCTACATTGTTCATGCAAAGAATAACGACCTGTTCACCTCAACTTTCTAACGAACCCTTAGAAGACAATCACGCCAGTTACATTTATCACTGGAAAACGCAGACGCATTTGTTTGTTTTAAATAATTGGGGATGATTTTAAAATTTAGGACCTGCAAGTTTCAATCATACTTTGTATTGTTTATTTTCTCCTAAGACTGCTCGATTTAAACGCTTTGAAAGCTACTGAAGCTTTTAGAAATTTGACGGAAAGAAAGTGAATTGAAAACGCAAGTAACGACACACTTACGTGCCCGAAGGGATCGAGGTGGTTATTGGTGAGCTTGAGTTTTTGGAAGGAGACTAATTGTCTCATCCAATGGGCCCCGGTGGCGGGTGAATCTGGGTGAACGTATAACCTGCCTGGCATCGCAGGTTCTGCTTTCCCAGTCACTGACCTTGGGAAAATAAAGCAATGGAAACGGCTCAGATTATTCAAAGTCAAACTCCAACACTTTGCCATCACTCTAGAACACAAACTGAGAGCTTCCTTCGCGAATCAATTACGTAAATAGCAATACCATTGACAGAATAGGTCTCACTCTCTATGCACTTTCCACAGATTGAGCCCAAACTCGGAACCTATTTTACTCAATGCCCGCTACTAATTGAAATGTTTCAGATACCTAACATATTAACTGTGGGGGAGGGGGGAAATCTTGGCGTACTGTAAAACTTCAGTTCTCATATCTCTTCAAAACAAATTTTTGCGCAATATTGTATTGAAGAATACAATCGACGCGTGCCGAGTTGGAGAGGCCAGTCACTTAGCAACACAAAATCCTCTTTACACATCATACATCCAAGAGGGTGGTGCTTTACCCTCCGTATTTCACCGGTAGCGATATTGAGCAATGGCTGAAAGCCTGATAACGAGACAATCTGAACCAATTCAGGCCAACTGCCATTCACTGCTTCCTATTTGTCCTGAAAGTGGTGAACCACACGCAAATAAGGCAGAGCTCCTACCATTTGTTATCAGCGAACTTGTAACGGTGGTCGTCTGCTGGCACAATATCCATCAGAAGGATGTATTTCGTCTTCGGATTTAACCCGGTCACCTTCACTTTGTAACTAGGAAACATGCGCCTGAAGAGAGAGGGGGGAATTAATTCAGTTTTGTACATGAATATCAAGTGTGCAAAGTGCTCCTTCTGAAAGGTATCAATTCACGCACTTTCAAAGACAATGGTGCCAGAGAAAAGCTGACTCGCTGCACTTCGTATTTACTGACAAATGGTTTTGTTTTAAACGCACGCGGTAACATTGGGAAGACAAATTAAAGAAAAGGAATTGTTCGATCTGAAGGAAACATAACGCGACCCGAATAAACACGGGGTTTATTCGCAGTCAAACACTTGGCGTTAATACATCGAGGTAACACACAAACATGGCTTCGATCATGGCCTAATTTGTAACATGCATACAAAACCTAACGTTTCGCCTCCTTGCTTCTACAATTGACTATTGGTTCCAAATGCTAGACGTGTTTACAAAATATTTCAGGAAAATAATCTGAATGCGATTTAAGTCGGTAAAAAGTCACACTAGGAGTGAATTAAAGAGCTTTTAAATGGAAACACTGTATTCGTTGTCTTGCTGAATTATCAAAGAACAGCTTGAATATATGTAGATCTTTATAAATATTTATCACTCGTTCAGCGTAAATGGGATGAAAATGAAAGCCCACAAGGGAACATATCTGCTGCAAAACTAAATTTTATAACATAGGATGAAAGTAGAGAGAAGTCTTATAAGAAATGTCACAAAATTCTGTCTTGGTGTACATTTCTATTTGGAATATTACCGCGTAAATTATCTTAAATAGTATAAACGCTAAATAATATGACATTTGTCACATCTAAATATGATATCGAATTAAATGCAAACAGATAATGGCAATGGGTAGATGGTTTCGTGTAAATCATATATATTATTATTCAAGAATTTGTGTCCATTAAATATATGTTTGTGCAATGTTGTAAACTATTTCTTGATAACCCTTTGCACCTTGGTTTCCACAGTCTAAAGATAGGCACTGTTAGGTCAAAATTTGCGTTTTCGATGCAATTTCTGGAAGCTGCTATTTACATTTAGTAAAGTGCCTGGCTGTCCCATCGTGGCTGACAGGCTTTGCTCTTAGCAGTCACTTTAAATATTTCATATTAAAAATTGATCACTCTGAATCTGTTTAATGTTGAGCATTCCTGTTATTATCTATTATTTTCCCCTCTTTAGAAACACTTAGAGATTTCCCTTTGGGACCAAGCGAATTTTGAATGGACGAAGGTAGTTATATCACGATGAGGTCTAGATAGAGGAATATTTACATAATCAGTTTTAGCCCAAGGTTGCGTGGTAAAAGCGATCACAATCATTGTAAACAGTACCGACTATGACTACAGCACTGTTCTATTCTATTGATAGGCCCTTACCTTCCTGCTTTAGTAATTATCATCTCGGTCCCGACTTCGTGAAATTTTAACCATAACTCGCGTTCATGCAAATACACTTTGATTCCTTCCATGCCCTACAATAAGTGGAGATATCAATTAATACATAACTATTTTTAAAATCATACATTACAGTCGAATAAATGCAATCCAATTTGCTGAAGCAAAGATTTGCAATGGTACGTGTCTGGTCAGAGGTATTGGAAATAAAAGGCCATAATTCTGCAACAAGTAACAAGATCAACTAATCAGACCTATGTGTACACCAGCAGCAACAAAGGTGTCAGAGATACGTTCCTCGACATTTACATGCAACGTCTAGTTGTTATTCATGTTAAGCAATAACATGCACTTACTGTGCTCTACTGCATATGGTTTTGTCAGGGGTATCGAAGACCAACCTGTTGAGTGTATGTAGCTTGTTGTGGGGAGGGGGATTTTCTGGCGGCTCCAAGTTGGCTGTCCTGCTTACTTTCAGATGAATGCTCATTGGGCTCAGACTCGCTATGTGGTGCTGCTGGCAGCCCGAAGCCTTCCTCCGTCTCCGCCATATTTCGCCGCACAATCCTTGCAATAGAGGCACCGCAACCCAAGCACTGTGAGCTAAATGTTGTCAACGTATTGCGAGCATCACACAGCAGAGCTCCCTCCTGGCAAATACACAAAAACAAAACATTCTTAGAAGGCTCCAAAAGAATAGAGAGGGCTGAAATGCTCCCAACAAGAACACGTTTCCCAACCAGAGCTACTAAGCGAGAATGCAGGCCTTTTATATTAAGTTATGGAAAATTGAAGGGGGATAAAAAGAGATAGTGTCAATCTTAGCTGACTCCAAAAGATAAATGAGGTATTCACGAAATTCGTCTGGACTTCTGGAAAGAGTAATAAAGATAAGATTCCAGGCAGCTTTTGAGCAACCGTTTGATTGGAGTGTAAGCAGCAATTACATTTCCTCTACTTTATAGACCCGTGTTTTGTGCGTATACCAACTTCTTCCATTAGTTTTATTGCCTTGTTAAAGTGTCGGTAGCTTTCTCGACATTAGCCCGAGCTTGAGGCCGTGCTATTACAATGACTATTGTTTCCTTAGCATGAGTGAGTACGTTTAAACCACTCACGGTGCATACACTCCAAGTGAGGAAACAACCGAGCGTGTGATTGTCCTAATAAAACGAGCAGTTTGCAGAAGCGTGTGTCTGACCTCCTGAAAATCAAAATAGTCGAAATAACATGCAGTTTTAGGATCTGAAAGGCCAAACGTAGCTCAATTAAAGGACATCCTCCCCTCCGCCCCCATCCCACCATATAAGGTTGCACTGATATTTTCGGTTTACACATTAATTTCATCCTTGCTCTGGTGTACAATTTAAATTCAGTTCTTACATCAGTTAAACGCTGTTAGCTACTTTAATTTGGGGATTTTAGCTGATTTAACCATTTCTCAGCACCTCTTTGCCCTAAATGCTTTGGTCAAAATATAATATGGTCAAAAGGTTACTCACTATAATAGAGTACAACAATAATAATCGGGTTTATAGCACAAATGAATCGCAAAACATAGACAATTTGATTTCCATTTATTTCAGTAATTACTATAAAGGTTTTTCAATAAACTCTAAGAACAAAAACAATTTAGATATACAATAACATGTAATGTTCCCTGATCAGCGCCAACTAAACTAGGCCTCTGTGATAAACATGCGAAGAATCAGTGATGAAGAGGATTACAACGTGAAGTTATATGGGTCAGATTTACCCTGGATATGAGACATCTATTGTGTTCCTAATAGTGTTCATTAAAATTATATGCCCGTGGCTCACAGCGCTATTTAATGAAGAATTGTTTACATAGAGGTAAAGTACCTGAAACATATCGACTATAAACTCGTTTACATAACAGTACGTGTTTTAAATATTCCTTAGTGGATAGGTTATGAATGACGCTTATTTTCGAATGCTAAATTTATGTTTTATGTTTAAATATCAGGGACCATAACGCTAAAGAGTCTTCAAACTGAGCACCTAATTAGTCATGCCCGTGAAACATTGGAAATACTGTTATAAATAATTCACAGCAATCATGAAAAAGGCGTGTGTATCTGTAATCGACAGCATTAACTTGCTAAAACGTAACCATACTGAAAGGAAGGTGTTATTGATGCATGGCATGTTTGAAAAAACAATGCAATAGATATTTGAGAACTTTTGTATTTCTTTTATAAAAAGTTGGACTTTTTTTTAGCAAATTTCTTTTTTAATTAAGCTTATAATTTGGTTTATGTAAATAAAAATGCTTTTATAAAAAAAAAGCAATGATGAGCGACGCTGCTCTGTAGGAAGGTTGACACTCGGCTGTCACACAATTCTGCAATTCCGCTAAGTTAAAAACATGGATTTATCCTTCAGAAGATATGATAAATTGTCCCAATATCTAAAGAACACTAGTCACTAGTCAATGCTTTAGTTCGCGCTCCAGTAGAAGCAGTCACTGAATCCGGGGAATAATAGTTTGCAAAATCTCTCAGATAGAAGGTGAAAGAAAATTATTTCTGAAGATATTAATCTGACATTTAAAGAACGATAGTAATTAGGAATCTTCAGTGCTGACTACAGCTTTACACGAAAGAGTTGGAATTTTACGTTTAACGTTCATAATTCTAGTTGCATTAGTAACGCTGAATTCAGGTATAAAACAGAGATACAATCTCAGCACTGACCTTTCAGTGTGAATCAGTATCTCTCTGTAAAGATAGGCCGCAACGCCGCGTGTGTAAATATACACTGCTCGCTGGTCAGTGCCCAGCGTCAGCGTTCTAGTTTATTTTTCTACACACGCTGAACTTTCCGCCTGCAAATCAATAAGTGACAAGCTCTTTGCATTTTGAGAAATCTCGCCGACTGTCATATACGGCAACGCGGAATGCGCCCTTTTGTTTTCTTTTCCACGTAGGCCCCGTTATTCGCTGATCAACACCGATCAACCCGGTCTCGCACACAACACAGAACTGAACCTCACGCACGAAAACAGAAACAAAAATGCAAAATGCAAAGGACCTAAACTTTAACCAGAATAAAGAATAACAATATACCTTCCGGTCTCTCCGCAGTGGAAGGGGGTTTATAGAGCTCTTTCCAATCGTTGTTTTCCCTGGTTATACACAGAACACATCACAGGCTGAACAATCCATAGGTCTCCAAAAGCAGTCCGCTTCTCCAAACACTTCCAGGTTGCCAGACGCGCAAGAGGGATCCTGAGAAAAAGATAAGGCCTTATCGCGCTGTTTGGGGGCATCTAGCCGCGGGGAGGGGTGGGGGGAAAGAACTTGCCGTTCAGAGTACTGGTGAGGAAGGAGTTCCCTCACTCAGAAGGTGGATTTGGTGGGTGCTGAGTGTGTGGGGATTATAGGAAAGGCGTGCACTTCCACAGAAGCGCGCTGACTGCAGTGACGTGCTGGGGAGCCTTTCGTGCTCTCAAAGTGCTGAGCGTTTGTCCAACCAGCGCTCATCTTCAACAGAGCGCCTCATCCTAGAAACCCCCAGCAGCTCAAACACAGCACAAAGACACTGTGAGACTCAGGAGCACCCCACCATCCATCTTGGCCCATTCTTCTAACCAAAAGGTGACCCCACCCCCACCCGCAACCACCACTCAAACCCCACAACCACAAGAAAAAAAGAACAGGCGATCACTTCGAATAAAACTTCACCGATACCAGTGCAATGCAAATCCGATTCCCCTTTCAGGTTACAGATAACTTCGCAGTTCAGCATGACATTATCCAGATGGGAGAAACAGAAATCAAGAAAGTAGCAAGGCTGCCTGAAGGAGCGAGTGTTGTGATACAGTATCGGCTGCTTCTGTGTCTTTGTATGTGTGTTTTTGTATTTGTCAGCAGAAGGGACGAACTTTATAAATAGATTATTTCTTGCGATTTGAATGCGAGGAGACTTCGCTCGATGTTGGCGGATTCTGGAAGAGATTACCGGAGGAGTGGGGGGGGGGGGGGGGGGGGGGGCGGGGTGTGCTCCAATTTAAACACTTGCACACTTCACTTTGATTAAAGCAGTTAAACGCCACTCGAATGTGCATGATCTTTTTCACTTTGCTTTTTTCGTTTTAAAAGATCATGTTTAGAGTGTCGTCGAATAGGTCAGAGTCTGCTAAACAGCGCGCTGTCGAATTCTGCACTCTGAAGCGAACCAGATTAGGCATTGCATTTTGATAAGGCATGCTGTCCTTTCAGTGAAGGCTGATCATTCCCAATGCCTATCAAATCTATTTCACTTCTAAATATCTTGCATAGTCCGAGGTGGCATTTGGAATAAACGACGTATTTATGATTTACTTCACTCGGTCTTTGTAAAATGTGAAGAGAGATATACCTTTAATTTTTATGCCTTAATGCTCATCAGTGATCCTCATCAGTAATCCTCATAGATCAAACACACAACACTCGAGGACAGAATCGTTGTTGTATGCATTACACATTGTGTCATATTGCTGTGAAGTTGATAACAATTGACCACCAGTAAAAATGCAGAATATCCCCTCCAATAATAAGAACTCCCTATTTTGAATGTAAACAGGACAAATGGAAACTACCCGATCGTTTCTCCAGACAAACTTGGCATGAGTAAAATACGCATAAAATAATGATTAACAATTGCCATTCTCCTGACAATTCTAACAGTGCTATTTGCCTTCTCTTATCCCGAGTGTTTACCTCATTGATACCTTTAATACCGAGGCAATTAAGATAGTACTTGAGCCGAAGGCAGAAATTCCGCCAAACATTGTAAGGTTTAGATTAGTTATGGTTCAAAAATGTCGGCAAAGGATAGATACAATATCCAATTTCAGCAATTCTAACTGAATGTCAATGCTTCCTGTTTTGTTTACAATGAAAACAAATAGATATTCAGAGCATATGGGTTTTAAACTGGACCCGAAAATCCTGGAGTATAACAAATGAAAACCCATGATTAAAATACGTTAAAATACGTCAGGAATCATGTAATTGAGATCTGTTGTACCTACCGACAAGGTGCAGGATTTCTGAATGGTATGAAATAAAGC